TGTAGCTGTCCTTCCACTGAAGTTGTCTTTTTTCTTTTTTCAATATATTTGTTTGAATTTTTGTGCATTTCAAACATCTTAATCATATTTAGACTCCCCTATCTGCACCCCCCATACCTCCACCAGATTTCATGCATTCTGTCATATATGTTAAGCCTATTGAGTCAAGTTTGTGTCCCCAGATGTCTCTCGGTGTGAGTTCATGCACTGGATCTTGTTCAGACTATTTAGCATCACTCCCTTAAAGACCAACTCTTCTTCACCCGACGTTGATAAGCTGCCAATAGTTCCTTGGCTAAGATTGGGGTTAGGGTTAGGGTTAGGGTTAGGGTTAGCCCCATCTTCTGCAATGGTCCCTGAGCCTTGGTGGGTGAGGTTTAATATAGGAGTCCTGTCCAAGGACACACAGTCTGCAGTCTCTTTTTGTCTACACTTTGGCCAGTTGTAACCTTCTGTGTTAATGGCCCTCTGTTGCATGAGGAAGTTTTGCTGGCGAGAGCTGAGAGATACATTGGTATTCTTTCTACCCCCTGTTCCACCATATTCTGGGAGCCTTAGGTGTACAGGTTACATTATAGATGTGTTCCTTAGGTCTAGGCATCTCACAGACACTTATTCTCTGTGTGTGACCAGTTGCGGAACTCTGTAACAGTCTCCATCTGTTGCAAAAAGAAGTTTCTTTGATGAATGGTGACAGATACACTTATCTGTAAACCTAAGAACCCATATTTAGCATACAGTAAGAAATTCCATTTGTCTAGAGATGTGGCAGATGTAGGGTTTCCTCTAGGATCTCTCCAGCCATGTGTATTTGACTATGTTTACAGTACCACACATGAGTCCCCTCCCATTGAGGGGGCCTTAAGTCCAATTAGATAACTGTTGATGACTCCCTACACTGCTGCACCAATATAGTTTCCTGTGCCAGTGGTTGTGGTTTATTGGACTTTATCATAGTTCTAGAGGCCAGTATGAAAGCTGCTATGGTCCAACCTCAGCTTTAAAATTTTTAACTTTTAAGCTGTAACTCATCATGACTTACTTGGGTGCTACATGTACTTTTAGAACACATTTGAAAAGTGACAGGGCTATTTAGTTTAATATGTCATATGAAATAAAAATTACTTTTCTTGAAAATTTTTCCTTAATACCATGATCTGATAGTATACTAAGAAAACATGAATTAGCATAGGATTCATATTCATTGTGTACAGCACATCATCTTACATCTTCCTACTCTTCTCAAAAACAATTCCCCTTCTAAGATGCAAAAACCTCAGTGGAAAAAATATAGCTGTTTGTGTTTATATAAATACACATTCTATCTCTTTAAAATACTAAAAATTTGGTAGAGCTCTTTATTAGTCACTTCAGGTTATGAAACTATAAAATTGTCATTTGAAATATTGAACATTCATATGTGTATGTAAATAAATGAAATTGGGAAACTTATGCACACTTTTATAATATACTTTTGCTCTAGATAGTCTTACTGTTCAACGTATGGTCAGATTGACTCACTGTTGCTTATAAGATGAAGTCTGATTTTATGCATGTTAAATATAATCTGTAACATATAATTATCTTTCATTAGAAATAATACATATGGATTATATAGTATATGAATTAGATCTCAAAGCAAAAAAAAAAAATACAGTATGATAGTGTCATATGATGATAGTCAACCCTAGAAGCAGGGGTTGATCTAACTGCTATAAATTTTTTCATTCTGTAATGTTCAAATGATTTTCTATATGTTGATGAGGTGTATCTTTACTTGAAGTCTTTATAACCTACATCAGATTGAATTTATTTGATGCAATTTTTAAGAGGCAATAATATAACTCGAAGAGCTTGAGTATCAGAATCAGGCAAGTATAGTTTCCCATCGTAGAACCTCAAGTAAGTCACTTGTTTGTTTTTTTTTTCATCACTTTAGAAGTGAATGTAACAATGCACACACCTTAAAGAGGTTTTATAAATGCTAGAGGATGGATGGATAGGATGGATAGATGGAATGAAGGAAGGAAGGAAGGAAGGAAGGAAGGAAGGAAGGAAGATTAGATAGATAGATAGATAGATAGATAGATAGATAGATAGATAGATAGATAGATAGATATAAAATACCTATATAGCAAATGGAAGGAATATGGGTAATAATTAACTCTTAGTGTAGTGGTTTTTTTTTATGTATATGAGTGTTTTGCATGTATGTATATAACGGACCAGTGCATACCATTTCCACAGAGGTCAGAAGAGGACACTGGATACCCTGGAACTAGAATGACAGATGGATGTTAGCCACCATGTGGATGCTGGAAATTGATCCCAGGTCCTCTAGAAGAGCAGCCAGTGCTCTTAACCACTGAGCAATCTCTCCAGTTTTGTAATGTTACAGTTTTTTAAAAAACTAGGCCCAGTTGACTAGAGCCTAGTGAGGTTACTCAGTGGGTAAGGGGACTTATTATGTAAGCAGGAGGTCTTGAGTTTGAATCTTAGCATCTATGTAAAATTTGGGACAGGCCATATATGCCTGTAGCACCAGTATTGGGGGCAGCAGAGACAGGTGGATCCTGAAAGTATGCTAGCCATCCAGCCTATCTGAAGCTTCATACTTATTAAGAGACCCTGTCTCTTAAAACTAATATTGAGAACAGTAAAAGAAAACACCTGATGTCCTCTTCAGGTTTTCACATTCTTGTGCACACATGTATACATTGCATGTACACGCACACATGTACCAAAAATAAATAGGGATTGGAGAGATGGCTTTAGGGGTTAAAAACACTTGCTGCTCTTGCAGAGAACCCAGGTTCACTTCCCAGCACCCACATGACATCTCACAACTGTATAAAACTCCAGTTCCAGGGGATCCAATGCCCTCTTCTGGCCTCTATGGGCATTAGTATGCATTCAGTGCACATACATACATATAGGCAAAAACACTCATAAAGATAAATCTTTTTTTTTTTTTTTTTGGTCTTTTTGAGACAGGGTCTCCTTATAGCCCCAGCTGTCCTGGAACTCACTATGTAGACCAGGCTGGCCTTGAACTCAAAGAGATCCGCCTGCCTCTGCCTCCCAAGTGCTGGGATTAAAGGCATGCACCACCATGCCCGGCTTTTTTTTTTTTAACTTTTAGTCTATACTGAGAACTACTGATGTAATTATAACAATTCCTAAGAGTTTATTGAGAAGTCTCCCCTTTTACCTCACTCTTAGAAATGTTAGAAAGTATCTGGCCATGGTGGCCCATGAATTAAAGAATCCCAGCACTTAGGAGACAGAGGCAGGCACATCTAGCCAGTCTACATACTGAGTTCCAGGCCAGCTGTAGCTAGAGGGAGACAGGGAGACTCTGTCTCAAAATATTAAAAAAAAAAAAGTTGCAAAAACTCTTACCAAATGAGCCATAAGTAATTTTTTGATGGATTTATGTACATATCTTTGCGTTGTTTCTAAATTTGTTTCCTAGTTAGATGAAATGTATTTCATATTTCTCCTGTAGAACTGAAGATCATTAAATATTTTCAAATTTATTACAAGATAATTCTCCCATTATAAACGTCTATGGGAGAAGTATTTTGATGGGTTATTGGCATTCTGCTTTTTAAAATTTTATTTATTTATTTATTTTTTTTGGAGCTAAAGCTTGATTAACACTGACTTTTAGATTAAGTCTTAGGGATTTACTTTTAAAAAATTGTGTTTTTAGGGTAAATGGTACCATCGGAGGCAAGCTGTTAAAGAATTGCACAGTACATTGATACGTCTTTTGAATGAATTGCTGCCATGGGAGCCAAAGTTAATGAAGGCTTTTCAAAGAAACAGGTAACAAGGCTTGTAATGTGTTTATTATTCTAAAGCTCTCAATTTATGATTTGAGGAGAGTGTAATGAAATCATTGAATTTTCCCTTTCATTTGTAATTCGGCAAGTAAAAAAGCATTATCTATGTGACTTACTTTCTGATGGAGAAACAAAACTCAAATGTGATAAATGATTGTGGGAAAGAGCAAGATAAGGGGGATATAAAATGCTTGTTTGGGACAGTGTGAAGACTGCTCCTAAAGAAAATGAAGAACATATCTAAGGGGAAACAGGATGGAGAACATGAATTGTCTTAAGAGGAGGAAGTATACTTAGCATTTAGAGGAAGTGCAAGGAGCCAGTCATAACCAAAGCACAGTGAATGATGGGAAAATGGTAAGAGACAAAGGACAGAGGTGAAAAGGTAGCCCGGTCAAGTAGGACTTAATCTTTGCTTTGAACAAGACTGAGATAAGAAGCCATTGAAAGATTTTAAGCAGAGGGGACATAATCTGTGTTTTGTTTGTCTGTCTGTCTGTTTTCCATTGGCTTGCTTGCTTGCAATGCTGAGAATTGAGCCAAGTGCCTGGCACATGGCTAGGCAAGTACTTTACTACAGAGCTATATATCCCCAACCTTAAGGATTTTTTTTAATTTCATATTTATTGATTTTATGTGTATTTGTGTGATTTGTGAGTGTAAACGTGCATGCTGTGGTGTATCTGGAGTACTAACTCTATAATGATAGAGTTAGTACTTAAACACCAATATGCATATAAAAGCTCATAGAAAAAATATATTGAAGACTATATGTGCAGATTTATACTTCTAAGCAAATAAAGCAAGATTGGCTCAGTGTGTAAAGGCTCTTGCCTCCAAGCCTAATGACCTGAGTTCAATCTTTGAGGATCCATATGATGGAAGGAGAGAACTGACATCTGCAAGTTGTCTTTTGACCTCTACACATGGCATGGGCATGCTCAGACACATATACACACACACATAATAAATAAATAAATTAGTTAATTAATTAAATAAATGTAAACAAATTACAAAGCAAATAAGGTAAAGGTTAAAGGTAAAGCAGAAAACTTAGCTCAAAGCAAAAAGAATAATAAAAGAGCTCCGGAATACTGTGTATTCATTTAGAAATATTTTAATCTCTCTAGTTTCTCAGAAATACAGCTACAGTCTCTGTAAAAGTTAGATTGCATTTAGCTTTGCTGCCTTAGGTTTCATGAACACTGTTTCTAGTAAGAAATAGTTTATTATTCCCAGAATTAAATGATAAATTTCTTTGTGATAATCTATATAATAGTGACAATAATCAATACTACTATCACATAGAACTGTGAGGTGACTCAACAGGTAAAAGTGCTTGTTGCACAAGCCTGATAACCTGGGCTTAGTCCCCTCCCCACATGTGTGCACATGACAAAAGTATACTTTCACTTAACACGTCACACATACGCACGCGCACACACTAAATAAAAGTAAATTATAAAGATACTGTCTCTTGAAATTTCTTGATTAGCTTTTTATTTTTTTATTTTGTGTGTATGTGTATATTACCTGCATGTATGTAAGTGCACCCGTGTTGTGCATTGATTAGCTTTTTAAAACTGGTTTTCTAGCCTGGCATGGTGATACAGGTTTAGGATCCCAGCATTCAGGAGTCTGAGGCAGGAGGATTATGAATTTGAGACTAGCCTAGGCTGCTGCATAATGAGACCCTGTCTCAAAACCAAGAAAGAGCTTCTGTAAAGGACTATCACCGCCTAGAGAGATAATTTAGTTGACTAAGTACTAGCATTTCAGTTAAGTATTTGCCAGGATTTGAATTAATCACCAGCATTTAAGAGGCAGAACCCAGCATCTGAGTTCAGGGCCACCCTGGTCTATGCAGCAAGTTCCAGGCCAGCCAGGATTACATAATGAGACCCTTTTTTTTTTTTTTTTTTTTTTTAAAAAAATTTAAATTTTTTTTTTTCTCCGAATTTTTTTTAAATGCCAAACAACACCTTTTAAAAAACAAAAAGGGGGGGGATCTTTTCACTTTATATCCTGCCGCACATGCACTCTGCATCTGCCTACGAGTGCAACTGCTAAATCTTCAAGTATGAGCTGCTTTACCTTTATGTTAACACTTAACCATATTTCAAAGTGGTCATACCAGTTTTTATTCCAAGACCTCAGGTGAGACACCTTTCTGTTGCTCCGAAGACTGACTCAGTGCTTAGTAGAGGGTTCCCTAATTTTCCATTGATGACAATGCAGTGGTATCTCAGTCTTGCTTAGTTCGCATCTGCATTTCCAAAACTATTATTTTTTTTTGGGTGGGGAAGAAAAAAATTTTTTTTTTTTTTTTGGGTGTTTTGGGGTTTTTTACCCTTTTTTTTTTTTTTTTTTTTAAAGCAATCTGAAATTCACTTTTCACTGCAGATTTTTTTAAATGCCTAACAGCAGCCTTTAGAAAAACAAATAGGTGGTGTGTTCAGAACTTTGTTAAGCCTAACATGCTTGCTCACACCTTTAGTCCCAGCACTCAGGAGGCAGAGGCAGGCAGATCTCTGCGACTTTGAGGTCAGCCTGGTCTGAATAGTGAGTTACAGGCCAGTCAAGGATACATAGTGAGACCCTATCTCAAAAAGCAAAAACAGCAACAACAATGGGATGGAGAGATGGCTCATCAGTGAAGAGCACTGACTGCTCTTGCAGAGGACCTGGGTTCAGTTCCCAACCCCCACATGGAGACTAACAACGGTCCTAACACCAGTTCCAGGGGATCTGCCTCCCTCTTCTGATCTCCGAAGGCATTGCACAACATGTGTGCACTTACATACATGCAGGCAATAAACTCATACACATAAAATAAAAATAAAAAACATTTTAAGAACAAAAGCAACAAAGAATTTGTTAAGACATTTCAGCTGTATGGGGCTGGAGAGATGGCTCAGCAGTTAAGAACACTGGTTGTTCTTGCAGAAGACCTGGGTTTGAATCCCAGCACCCACATGGCATCTAACAACTGTCTGTAACTCCAGTTCCAGGGAATCCGACAGCCTCTTCTGTCCTCCACGGGCATTGTATGACATGGGTGCACTTACCTGCACGCAGGCAATACACGCATATACATAAAATAAAAATAAATATTTTTTTTTTAAAGAAATTACTTTCCTACACCCATATATTGTAGGGTACTACCTATGTTTAAAAAAAAAAAAGAAAGAAAGAAAACGAAATTTCAGATATAATCTTTTTTTTTTTAAGGGGGAGGGCTTTTGTTTGTTTTGTTTGTTTCTTATGCTTACGTCGTAGATGTTATCTTCTTGAGCAATTAATAATTGGCAAGACTGAACTAATGGGCATTTTAGATACACTTAAAATCAAGCATAATGACAATTGAAGATATTTCAATATGTAGTTTAAAAATTCAGTGTGTATTGTTTGTCTGGGTTTTTTATTTCAGGAGCCGTCTAAAGAAAGACTATGATGATTTCAGAAGACAACCTGATCATGATCATTTTACTAGAGAACTGTGGACTACTGAAGAATGTGAAGGAAATCCTGAGAAAGAATCTCCTAAAGTAGAAACCAGTAAGTCCGTAGATGAAGCTGAACCTCTAGATGTCCTGGAGAAAGATCATTTTGATTCAGGTAGGCATTAAAGCCTTTAAAAATCACCACAAAGAAATTTTTGTTTGTTATGAAGGCAAAAGATAATTTGGTCAGTGTGTGCCAATAGGAAATCTGATGCTTAAAGTGTTATCCATTTCCCTATAAGCAGTTTCTTGGAAGTCATTTTTAAATTTCTAGGAGTTTCTAGAGCCAGTGCCTAACTCCAAACAATAAGCATATCATTGTCTGTTACAGATTATACATCTTTAATCTGTTACCCCTTTGAAATTATTTAATTATCCTTTTATTATTACTACTCTTGAAGCTCTGTTTTTAAAGTTTGCTCCAAATGGAATTTGACAAATCCCTATATTGTAAAGATTTTTTTGAATGATGAATGACGAGGTGGGTAGCCTGCTGAGACCAAAGTGAATGAATTTGAACGAATTATTGAATTACCATTCTAGTAAGTATAGGTGGCTAGACCAGATTTGTATAATTCGGTTCAGCTCCTCAGATTATATTATTTTGTAAAGTTAACAATGACTTTCTTTAGTTAGAAATGTGTTAACATATTGTTTTCCTTGTCTTTAGTAAATTGTAAAACTTCTTCTGACCAGATGTGATTGTAAAATTTGGTTTCTAAAGATAAACATCAGAAAAGGCTGGATGTTTCTTTTCATTTAGAGTCTCTAAAAATAATCTTCTCAATAATAGGTTGCTCTTAAGCTTAGTTGTGATACCAAACTCAGTGTGCCAAAGGTTTCTTTACTTTTATCTCTGTAAGTGGTACTGGAGCTTTTGAATGACTATACAGTAGACTTCTTAAATTGCCAGCTCAAAGATTGACTTTGGTTTTTATAATTGGTATTATTCAGTACTGTTTTCTATAAACAAAATGCTTGTTTTTATAATTTTCAGATGATATGAAATTGTCAGAAATAGGTTTTCCTATGGCCAGAAGCAAGTTGTTGAAAAAAGAATTGCCTTCTAAAGATGTAGTGAAGACACTGCCTAAAACACTTAAACGACAGTCCAAACAAAGTAGTTATCTGGATGATAGCACAAGAGAGCTTTCCCCAAGGAAGAAAGTAAAGCTAAGCACAAGTGAGACAACAGTTGAGAATTTAGAAGTTGATATGCAGATTGACTGTTTGAATGAATCAAATCATACAGAGCTACCATTTCCAGAGTCATTTGCCTCAGTGGATTCAGTACCAGTGTCTACTCTCCAGAAAGGGACCAAACCTATTCAGGCCTTGCTTGCAAAGAATATTGGGAACAAAGTGACCTTAACAAATCAACTGCCCCCTTCCACAGGTAGAAGTGCTCCTGCTGTGGAAATGCCAGTTATATCTTCTGCAGAAGCAAGCCCCATAAAGCCAGCATTGACCTGCCTCACAAGTACAAAAGGACCTTTACAAATGGTGTACAAAATGCCCTGTGGTCAATGGTTGCCAATAGATCTTCACAGTAGCTCTGTCAAGATTCAGATGCAGCCCATGGTGGATCCTAAAACAGGAGAAAAAATCATGCAGCAAGTTCTTATTTTGCCTAAGAATTTTGTAATTCAGCACAAAGAGGGAAAAGCAGTTGCAAAAGAGATACTGCCACTTCAGCAGAAAGGTACAGAGCAGTGTTCATCTTTCCCACAGACCACAAGTCTAAACTCTTCTTTAGCATCAGCTCCTGTCACCTCAACAAGAACTGTTTCTTCCCCACTGCCTAACACAGTTTTCAACAAGACAATTATACCTTCATCAAATGTGAGTGCTAAATCACAGACTTTGTCACCTGTAACCTCTGTAAGTAATTTATTAACACCACCAGTGACAATGAGCCAGAGTGAGCCTGGGAAAGTCAAGAATGCAGTTTCAGCAGCCACATTACCCCAGCCCATTGCTTTGCCCATTTCCTCAACAAGTCAGCCTCTATTGCCAGCAGCAACACTAAATGAATCTACAAATCCTGGCAATTCCCTTACCTGTTTTCCACAACAAACTCCTGACTCTTCTGAAGCAAAGCAAGAATTGAAAACTGTGTGTATAAGAGATTCACAATCTATTCTTGTCAGGACACGAGGTGGGAATACTGGAGTTGTTAAAGTACAGACCAATCCAGATCAAAATTCACCCAACAGTTTGTCTTCAAGTTCTGTTTTCACTTTTGCACCTCAACTTCAGGCATTTCTGGTGCCAAAATCAACATCATCCTCTGCTTTTTCGCAAGTAGCTGGAGTGCCTACTACATCTAGTCTCCCATCTTTCAGCCAAGCACCCACTTCTGTTTCCATTCCATGTGGCTTTCATCCACCCTTGGGGAAAAATCTCAAATCTGCATTAGGCCAGCCCTCAGGCAATGGTAATTTGGGCCCATTGATAGATAAAACTTCACACATGCCCTCTTCACCTTTGAAGTCCTCCATTTCTTCCAGCACTCTGCTACCATCAACAACAAATAGCCCAGTAAGTATGATTAGCATAGCAACAGGAAATTTTGGACAAACCAATACAAATACATCAACTAAACAGCAGCAAGTAGATACCACAAAAAGTTACCCTGTTACAAGATCAGAAGCAACAACAGCAATAAATGGAGATGTACTCAGTGGGACTCCAGTTCAGAAACTTATGCTAGTATCAACTCCATCTATTCTTCCTTCTGGCAGTGGAACTGCAGTTAATGTGGCACCAGCACCAACATCTGCAGGTGTTTCTACCCAGAAAGTTGTTTTTATTAATGCTCCAGTTCCCAGTGGCAGTTCAGCCCCAACTATTGTTGCAGAATCATTAAAACAAACACTTCCTTCTCCCTTGAATAAAACATATGTTAAACCTCCAGAGCAACCCCAAATAGTACTCATTCCATCTACAGTGGGGGCACCAATCAAAATCAATTCGTCACCAACTGTGTCTCAGATAAAAGATGTAAAAATTGGTCTAAACATTGGTCAAGCAATTATAAATCCTCCAGGCAATATGCCAATTATGCCGTCAATTAATATATTGCAAAATGTAATGCCAAAAGGAGAAGACAAAAGTAGCAAGGGCTGCATCTCACCATTGTCAGTGAGTGCTAATTCAGTTCCAGTAAGCTCAAGTATTGTGAGTCAAAATAATCCTCCTGTTAATGAATCAGTGGTTTCTGCAGCAAGAACTGTAAACATGTTTTCAGTAACAGGAGCAAATGTGTCTTTGAGTTCCCTTTCAGTGACCCCATCCTCTGCTTCAGTTGGGACACGACCTCCCGTTTTAGTCAGTGGAAATGATACCTCTTCAAGAATTATGCCTATTTTGTCAAATAGACTTTGCACGTCAAATCTTGGAAACACTGTAGCTATATCAACTGTGAAAACAGGACACCTTGCATCATCTGTTCTGATTTCAGCTACACAACCAACAGTGTCTCCTAAATGTTTGACATCAGCTTTGCAAATCCCTGTTACTGTTGCCTTGCCTACACCTGTAACTTCGTCTCCAAAAATAATCAGCACAGTTCCACATTCAGCCACAGTACCAGGAGCCACACGTCCTATATCTCTTTCTAAAAGACAATCTCTGACTTCTCTCCAGTTTCAGTCAACAGGGATTTCAACTACAGTGCCAACAAATGCAAACACAAATAAACCTCAAGCTGAATTATCATCCCTTTCACCAAGTCCAGGTAAAATAATTAATATTTCCAGTTTCACTTCTATGCCAAACCAGCAAATGTCCCCTGCAGTAGTAAAAACAACTCCCAGTAACAGCCCTGCTTCAGGTGGCTCTGCCATCCACAGTGCTACCCCACCATCAAATGTAAGTAGTCTGGCAGGGACTCCATCAAATGAACCTTGTATTCAGCAAAAAATAGTTATCAACACCAGTGCACCTTTGGCACCAGGTACTCAAATCATGATTAACGGAGCCCGATTTATTGTTCCACCACAAGGTCTTGGAGCTGGTAGTCATGTTCTTCTTATATCTACTAATCCGAAGTACGGACCTCCTTTAATTCCTAACAGTGGCCAAGGCATTCAGGTTGCACCAGTAGATAATCCTGTCCAGAAGATCATACAAACATCAAATAATTCTTTAAGTGGACAACCTTTAAAGCAGTCTGTTAAAAACTCTACAAAAGTTATAAACTCTCTTGGAGATGCAAATTCTCTCTCTACAGTACATATAACACCACAAATGGTAAACACACCTGCTAAAGTTCACGTTCCACCCCCTGCACCAACAGTGTCATTGACTTCAGTAATCAAGTCTTCTCCAGCTACTCTTTTGGCTAAGACATCTTTGGTTTCTGCCGTTTCCTCCAGTAATCCTCCACTGCCAAGTAGCACATCGGTATTTCATTTGGACTCATCTGTCAAAAAACTATTGGTTAGCCCAGAAGGAGCCATTTTAAATACCATAAATACTCCAGCATCTAAAGTTTCTTCATTGTCTTCATCTCTCCCTCAGATTGTTGTATCTGCCAGTCAGAATCCTGCCTCTGTCTTCCCTGCTTTCCAGTCATCTGGTTTAGAGAAACCTGATACAGCTGCATCTTAAGACTAAACGAGCCAGTTTTTAAATAATGGGGCATTCTTTTAACTCCCTAAAACTTTTAACTGTTTATTATACTGTTGAAAACATACTATTCATACTTGTATGTGTGTGTACATATGTGTGTGTGTGTGTGTGTGTGTGTGTGTGTGTGTGTGTGTTTTAATGTATCTTCATTAGCTTGCACAAGACTTTGTTTTCTTGGGGAGGGAAATTTCACTCACTGGTATGAGGATATTTTCAAGGGTTCTTTCTTCAGAGTACATGGTCAAGATTTACCTATCTATATAACAAACTGAACAAAGTCAAGTTTGACTAAAGTAAGCTAGCCTTTTCACACTTACATTTATATGTTTCTTCTTGAATTTGGACTATTGCAGTGTATTTACAATAGAGTCT